TTCCCATGTTTATCGAACTCGATGCTACAACACCACATTGCAGACTCCTTCCACCGGGATCGTCTTCACAAAGTTCCCCTCGGTTATGGACAGCTTGTGCAACCACAAAGAAGCCGCTACCAAGTGGGCTGATGGCGAAACCCCAAAGTGTGCCTGTGACGCCTTACGACCTCATGCTCTTCATTATCACCAACCTGATCACCACTTGGTCCTGGAAGGCGACAACCTACATTTCGATGAAGGCCCACACACATCCATCGCGACGGGTTCGCTTCAAAACAAAATCTTCCCACCCTCCAAAGAAATCCAGACATCCCTTCGCCTTGCTCTGCGGACGTGGACTACCCGGAACTCACTCCCTTCATTACAAAAGACCCATATTGATGAACTTTGGCACCGCTCTATTCAATCCCACTACAACACCCTCCACAATCACATCACACAAAGACATCGTACGCTTCAAACGTCTTTTTCCAGAAGCCATCTTCCACAACGAGGACAAGCGAGCTACATCCCTACGAATCTACTGCCCCGTACTCTATTTCCAGTGCCTCACCACCACCTTCGCCGACCCGTTGCTATTTCGAAAATAGGAGAACAGCCCAAATGACATCATCGAGAAGACCATCGCCGAGATCAATCATCAATTTGGCAAAGCATACCCATGGGCACTTGGCGCTGGACGAGACCTACCGAATGCCTACGTTCTACCCAAGCGGAAGAAACAGTTTAAGGATCTCTCCTACACGACGATCACGCTCTCCAACAAGGGCACCGTCCTCCGCTATGGGGTCTTCATCCTTTCAGCACCCATCCAATCGGACTCCGCCTTCGACACCCCATCGACCGGTTATTTTCCAATTGGACCTGAAGCCTATGCAGCAACTCGCCGTCCGCAACCCATACTACAACATCCTGGCCCCCAAGGTCGCGGGCAACCTCCCCACTGCCGTCTATGACAGCCTGTTCCAGACGTTCAAGGTGATCTACCCGGATTACGCTCGCAGTCACTTCGTTTCAGACCTCAAAACAGTGGTTACCGACACGCTTTTACAACGATGGTCGATACACCTACCAGCGACAGATTTCTACATGATGATTGACACCGATCAAGGAGCTCAGATGCTTGACGACCTCCCTCATTCTCTCCTGGACGTTTTGAACTGGCTGTACCCGACATGGAAAACTCATCAACATCTCGATGCCTTCACGACCCGTGAGTGTTCACCTTTGTTGCTGACACCCCATCCAGATCCACAAGACACAGGCTTCGCTGTCCATGTTCAAGTGATTCCCCGCGGGCATCCATTCGTCACGGCCACCCGATACACTAAAACGGCCGAGTGATTAGCCTTTGAGATAAATCCTGGATGCGCTCACGTCTATGGGAAAAAAGAAAAAAGCACTCGTCATGATGTCCTCCGCCTCGACTTTGGGTTTTCTTCTGTCTTCCCTGTTTCTCATCTTTCCTTATTGTGATTCTCGTGGTTCGATATTTCATTATTGACTTTTTCCCACGGTTTTTCGGCTTCAGTTCAGTTTTTCTCGATATCATATTATTGCTACTGTACATGACGACCTCCACTACGGATGATGCTGCTCGACTGGTCTCAAACCGCTCCTCACCTACATCCGTACATGGCCCAGTCCCACACCTCCCACCTGATGATCCTACTTCGGCATCGTATATTCCCAGGGCAGCGAGAATGATCCCAACCTCTACAACCGTCCATTCCGTATTCATCAAGAAGCTGAGCTACCCTTTGTCTTCTCATCCGGATGAACTTTGGATCGTGGAAAGGACACTCGATGGTATTGAGACGTGGAAGCCAGTGGAAACATTTTTGGAGAACATGCACCTCACCAACGATCGTGCTACCCTGCGTACTACGGCTAACCATTGGCGCCAATACTATGATGTACCCATCCAATCATCCTCTTCCCCTACGGCAACTTCTGTTCCTGTTCTCCCACATCCTGAACATGCCAATGTCTACGTCTCTCAACCGTACGAAGCGATACCAGACCAGCTTCATATTTTACAGTCATGCTGGGGACGTTCTGCCCAACACCACTCTCAAGGTACCACCACTTCTTTATCTTGGCCACCATGGCGATCTACACCACCTTCTTCACCATCGGCAACATTGCACCGGACCTTACATCTCAATCGCCCTACCGTCCCTCCTCAACATGTACATTGTCCACTGGATGCGAACGACCCTGGCCCGATGGATATGTCTGACTCCAGTGTGTAACACACCACATCATTTGGCGGCATAGAAAAAGAACAGTGACTACACGTCGACTCGTGACTACTCACTAGGTACACCGTCTCCCTCCATATTTGGATTTTGGGCTTTACTCTTTGATCATTATCATATATTTTTATGTTGCAGCCTGGGCTTTCCGCTTTACGCTTGACACTCGACGTCATGGCTCAATTCCTCTCGCCCCCATCCATATCGCGCTACATCCACGGTTGATACACCACAAGGTCCCCGAAATGTTGGATGGCTTGCCGGACACCGAGGCCTTCCTGGTCACGTGAACCCTCCTCCAAACCGACCTGTTCTGATCTTGATTGACTACTCTCCTTTACAGGAATTGACTCACCGCAGCGAACCTGACCGTGAACACTACATGGCTATGGCCAGTTCAAATCTCAAGAATGTTAGTGGCTACGAACTTGAAGCTCTGTTTACCTGGTCACGCCAGATGGAACCAATTGAAGCCGGCATCCTTCCTACTGGAGAACTACGTTTCTGCATCTCAAAAAGACTGAGGACCCAATGGAACATCCAACTTGACCCTTCGAATTTGGAGTTTCGCTATTGCGATCTGGAAGGTGATACATTCCAAGTCCCCAATGATATGACGATCATGCAGCTTTTGGAAGAATACCGGCCCGAATGGCGACTCCGACAGTACAACTACATCGAATCCTCTTTGCTCATCCCAGGTACCTCACAGCCTTTCGTGCTACGTTTGAGATGCCATAAAGTTAGCCCCGGAGTTATCCTACCCTGATGTGCTCACTGGCCAAAAAGAGAATGCTCGACTGTTCTTTTCGTTGCAGCACCTATGACACTTCATTAACACGGAGGATTCTTTGGATTTCACCTTTCGATTTATTCTCACCTTTTTAGGCTTCGGGCTTTGTCCTTTCCGTGGGCCTTGAACAATTTGATTGCTGATTGGACATCACTATTATTATTATTATTATTATTATTCTATGGCTTGGCTTATTTTTGCATTTTCCTGATTCCTCAGCCTTTGGTCGTACCATTTCACGCATTTTCTGACCGTTTCACCCATGGAGCATAAACGAGACGCTACCGTGGCGGGCTTGGCTTGGCCTTCGAATCCCAACCGCGGACTCGCTCCCACAAATCCAGACCAAGCGCCAGACGGCCAGGCTTCTGAACTATGTCATTCTATCACCCCTGACCCTACGACCGGGACCACTTCGGCACCTTCGGCAGCTGACACTACAACTACCGACATCAGAACTACGCCCCACGCCGATACATACTCAGGCTCTGCACCTCCTGATGTTCCTTTTCCGACTGAGCCAAGTCCTACATACCACTACCTCCATCGTGCTCACTTCTCATCCCGCGTGGTCCGCCAGATCCACTTCAAGATCATTACCCGCTCCAACAATACCAGGGAGTTATTCATCGAAGAGATCCCCATGTCAGGGCTCTCCAAATGTCGTGACCCCGAGCACTACTTTTATGGTCTTTCGGGCAACTGGGAGTGGTCCCTGCGCACAGCGGATTATTGGCGCCATCACTTTGAGATTCCTCTAGTACATGGGCATCATCCTTTTCACAACGTCCCCATTGAGACCACCGCCCCTACAGAGGCAACCCGCTTCACTCCGAAGACCCAAGAACTGGCCAAACAACTTTCAACCACTTTGACGGCTGCTATGGCATCTGGGGAAATCAACGACACGTGGAGGATGGTTGAAGGCATGAGCTTCCGTGACGCGATCCAAACACTTCAAGTTGAGGCGAATTTCCCTTCTGAGTGACTGAACGCGGCTATGTACATTAGCACCGGAAAGCCTTTTTGTATTTGATTGATCTTGCCGACCTTTGCAGCGATGTTCTTTCAAAAGAATCAAACCCCGCTACACGCGGGGTGTGTGTGTGTGTGTAACATCTGAACAGATGTAAAACTTCTATTGCTCTAATCTTTTCACATTTGCAGGGGGCCAGGAACCCATGACTGTCTGTCCTGGCCAACGAAGACCAGACAGCATGGGGGTGAAAACGTACCTGCGAGTTTTTGAACTGTTGATCAAGCTGTTACACTGCGTTGTTTCGAACCTACACGGTTGCCACAATCTGTATTGCCTGCATCAGAACCTTCCTCAGTTTTTCGCCGAAACCATGTCGCCGACGGTATTTTGATTTTTTGAATTATTTCGCCGAGATCATGTCGCCGATGTACCTTTGATTATTTTGGGAATCCATCGCCGAAACATTAATTTTGGGATTTTCAACATGCTGGTCAAACTTTGTGAATTCTGGTTTAAACTCCGTCGGACAATGTTGGATGCTCTACATCGTTTTCGAGAAGTACTTCAAGGGGCTCTACTGTAAATCTAACGATCTAGGCTGGTTTGCACGTTTCAGGATTCAGTTCCTGACGGATCATATAATGATCCATTCTTGTCTAGTGTGTGTGTGTGTGTGTGTCTGTGTTTGTGTCAAGTTCCGTAGTTTTGATCGTCCGCATGTTTCCACTGCTTGGTTGCCGCAGTTGCTTGGTTCCCAGACATATTCAGACGAGTTTGACCCATCCAACCCAAGAAGCCCTGTGTCTTACCAGTGTGGATTCAATTATTCAGCCCCCAAAACTGAACGGAACCCACAAAATGATATGAGCCACAAAACTCTGGAGCCCATGGTGTAGAAAAATCTTTGGCAAATCCTGAAAGGTAAGCCAGCAGTCAGCAGACATCCCCATAGGAAGCAATAGTCAATTTCTAGTGCGCGGGGATGGCTCCAACCAGAGGCCGGCGCAAGAAGGCGCTGGACAAATCCGGAGTTTGGAGGTCTTGCCTATTTGGTGGTTTGGATCCTTATGGCGAATTTCCCCTCTTAGTGGTGTTAGGGCCTTTGGAACTGGGGTCACGTTTTTGGCAATCGGAGGAAACCATGTCAACCTGATTTGAGAACCACAAAATTGTCATGGTGATGTACTGTAAGTGAATGCAAGATTCTGAGCTGTGTTTAGTTCATCCATGAGTCATGGTGTATGTTTGAACGTCAGGAGTATGACGTGGTTGTACAGGGCCAGTCAGCCGAGAAAGTGGCGTCGGAGATAGTGGGCTCCTCAGGATGCTTGTAAGTCTTGCGACGCGAACTTCCGGCATAACAACCAACCAAGTTCAAAAGCCATGGCGATATAAATTATATAATCAATGCAAATCACGAAGACAAGATATTGGACAACACTACTAATATGCAAAAGTCGTATATGGGGGGGTGCGTATATCATCATAAATCTTCCAACAACAGCATGGGGTAGTGATTCTGACCAATAAGAATAGAACATTGTCCCACACATGTGGTATGGTGAGCTACTGAACCACCAAGACTAGGACATGACTAGGACATAAACAAACACAGAAATTCCGGGATACCATGCACAAATTGACCCCGCCTACAATTTATGAAAGGCACTGACTGCCAACGTGCCGCTTCTCCGGGACTGAGGCGGCACACATCGCAGCCAAAGGATTCTGCACCATCGACCCTAGACTCGACGATGACCTTCTGCGGCAAGGTCGTGAGGACTGCATTGGTTTTGTGATTTTTGTGGCATCTCCCATTTTGCTGCTTGCAACGATGCATAATGATGCCATTGTTACCACAATGGTCCCATATGGCTTTGCTGGGTCCGATAGGCCATGATAGGCCCATAGGTAAAACTTTCTAAGGACCTAATGCATTGCAGGAGATCGGGGAGGCTGACGCCCGTGGAATCCTGAAGCAACCACCTGCCATGGCACCATCCCCAGCCTGAGGTGATGTGGTTTGGGTGAGTTCAACTGGAGAGATCAACTTCCAAACTGGATCAAAGTGCGCACAGATTCCCACTTCATTTGGATGTTTTGATGTTTTTTTGGCACTTGATGCGTTTGTTTCAGAGATAGTGCGCCCATCAGTCAACCGAAACTTGCCTTTTGATCCTCTTTGTTCTTTTTCTGGGGGTGAACTGGGGGTCTGTCTTGTGGGGTCCCCAAAATTGGGAATTGTTCAGAGTGAGCCAAGGTCCATGATGGCCTGCTTGGAGAAGAGGGGTCATCGATGATCCTGGACCTTTTTCAGGCACCTGCACAATGCAAGCAGAAAATGAGTGAATGGAAACGAAGCTACACAGTGTCAGCATGTGTCAGCCAGAAAGTCGTGAATTATTGACTTGAGTACAGTAAGACGTAGATAAAGTCAGACTGGAAAAAAAATCATTGGAAATAAACTGAAGTAAGCCTTGGTCGAGTGAAGTCATATGCATGGTGGAAACATGAGCCGCCTATGGCCCTTGACATTTGTCCATATTTGTCCGGTTGATTCCTGTCGCAGGAAGGGCTGTCAGATTCCAAACCCAGGGAGTTCAGGAACCTCCTTGCGTTGGACGAGTCGATGTCGGAGCTGGTCAATGTTTTACAGCCACCTGGGCGGCAGCTTTGGGTCGACACGGATCGGTGCCTGGTTTGGTGCGGGACATTGGTGGTTTCTGTAGGTGTTTGTGGCTTTGCGTTTCATCATGTTTCATGAGTTTTGCATAGTTTTGCGATGTGTCATGATTGTGTTCTTTTCTATATATATCTTTCTATTGGCTTCGGAAAATTCAAGAACTGGAAGTAGTGCATGTGGGTGAGGACCAAGCAAGTTTCAGCAAGAGACCATGCGCATCCATGCGCTTGAGGCTGTCCATCGGTCAACTGGGCTTTGGGTCGTTGAGTAAGACCCATGGCTTGCTGCATGAAACTGGCCTAGCTCCAGAGCATGCACCAGATCCCAGTGAGCATGAAGCAAGCATCTTGGCAGAAAAACGGCATGTATTTCATTTCATTGCAGTATATTTCAATATATTTCGATGGTTTCTCCATCTTGTATCATCTTTCTCATTCCGGCAGAATTTTCCACTTGTTTTGGTGTTTGCCTTGGCATGGTTCGGTCTTCAAACGTTTGTTGTATCACTGAGGCTATTGGCTAGGCATCTCGTCTGCTTTGGTGCCACCACAGAAGATCCTCCAAGTCCAACCAATGTGTTACACGTTTGAAACACGTTTGGAACACGTTTGGAACACGTTTCTCTCAGGAACCTTGGCGCAGAAGAAAATCATGATTCTCCTTTGCTTGGGTCCTGTCCGTGGCACCCTCGAGCTGCAACCCTATGACGAAGAAGCCGAAGCGTATGAAGTTCCGACCATCCCAGGACGCTGAAAGCATCTGAAAGCAACGTGGAACACAACGCTGAACGCAACGTACATAGCTAATATAGCTACCACATCTGACCTGGCGGGTAGTTTCAGTTTGTGTCCCAATGATTGGCTGCACAAATGTCCAAAAATACGCAGTTTTCATCAGTTTTCCATTTCCAAGAACGGGATGATGATCATCAATTGACTGGTACTGGATTGCAAGCACCATACGCAGTTTCCATTCAAATCGATTGCCAATGGGGTAATGTAATGATATGACACATGTTATTAACATGTTATTAACATGTGTTAACTATCCGAATGATTTGAATAGGGAGTCCATCACGAGCTGCGTCATGTGATCCCAGGGAGGTCCGACATCGTTCCAGGAAGTTTCATCATCCTGCGGGCAGATGCGATGTGGCACCGGCACTGTGCCCATTCCAAAGCACACATCCTTAGTTGTCGCTGAGACAGCACATGGATGGATATGGATGGAAGATGATGGAAGTTGTTCATGTTGTTCACGGAACAATGTACAATACTGGGCAGAAATAGCATGAAATAGCACAAGCACGTGCTTGGTTGAAGGATACTTTTTGGCCGGATGACGGTAGAGAGAGAGAGAGAGATTTAAAGTATACAAAAGATTGTGGAAAAGCACTCGAAAATGGGGGCTGACACAAAGGATCTCCATCATGAATGTGTGTCCCGTGGTTGATGTGAGGTTTCTTGGTAGGCCACGAGGGCCGGAAGACCGGGTCCAACTGGGTGCCGCCCTGCGCCAAAAGTCTGGAGCAATGGACAGTGGAACGAATGAGATATTTGAAAGAGAGCCAGGCAAAATCTCAGGAGACCTCTGTTTTGTTGATCTGGCCATGTTTGGCCACAGAATTTTGAACCGCTGCACACGGATTTCTGGTTGAATCGAACACCTCCTGCCCCAGGAGAAGTTGGATCTGCCTGCTGGATGGATCACGGCGATGAACCACATGTTCCACACCGCACAGCGGGTGGCGGTGCGATCAATGGCCGCCAGATATGCGGGCTCCTGGCAAGTTGAAAATTGGTAGCTTGGTGGTTTCAAAATGTTTCAACATGTTTCAAAGATATTGTCAGACTTTATAACTTTTTATATGAACCAAGCTTTGTGCCTACCAAGCTTTGTGCCTGGAAATCCTGTTTTCTTAAGGTGGGCCATTGTGAAGTACCCTGGTTTTCCGGCCTAACATTGATCATGGCATGGGATGCGATAACACGCATTCCTGTTAAGGATCCCTACATCCTGAGAGAAGATGTGAACCTTCAATTCACCCCCAAACAAGGGCCTAAGATCATCCAAGTCAAGTTGAACAGCGTATCTTTGGATTTCTTTGCTATTTTGGCGGAGGATTGCAGCAACCCCCGAAGGTACCTTTCACAACCCAGTGGTCCGGACTTGGTCATTGAAGTACCCCTGAGCCGATGGGATGTTGATCAATATTTTGATCCTGAAGCACCTCGGCCCATTGGCAGATCTCGGCATGGCTTCGGCATCTGTGGGTCATCTTTGAATCATGAGCTGGGTGTGTGTTTGTGCGATGTTCCCTGGCCCTGCTCCCGAGGAAACCCACTGGAGACAGGGAAAAACCATGGCCCGGCATGGTTCATTCGTGGATGGCACCGAGTATTTCGACAACAAATTCTTTGGCTTGTCACCTATGGAAGCGAAGGCTTATTGCATGCAGGGGAACGGCTATAGAAGATCAATCAAGCAGACAGATTTGTGAGGAACAAGGAGATGTATATATATATAAGAGTTTTGTTTGCCTCCCAGGATGTTGGGATTTTTGGAGATCAATATTTGCAAAAAAAAACATGCACTCCTCGATGTCTTTCTTTATCATGTTGGATTGGATTTCCTTCTCTTCTTCTGGGGAGAACGGGTGCATGTCCAGATTCCGCACGCAAGGGCTGAAAAGCCCTAGAAGAGTTGACTGCCACCCTTTGTTTGCAAACCCCAGCTGAGCAGTGCTCAAAACTCCTCGGGGGTCATGATCATACAGGCTTTCGTTCCAAGCTCCAAAGATAACATGCTATTAGCTGCTACATGCTGCTACTATAGCCCAATGATATCCAATGTTCGTTCTGATTCTCAACCAACCAAGTGAGTAGCACCTGCCGCTCGTCACTACTGCTCATCGGTTGCAGGGCATGGATCCTCACCAAAGAGTGGTGCTGGAAGTTGGCTACGAAGCGTGTCATCATGCGGGCTACAGCAAAGGAAAGCTCATGAACAAGATCGGTCCGGTCCCTATGCTGCCGCCTTGCAATGTCAGATGGGAAAATCATGGAACATCCATGAAAATCCATGCTTTGCTTTCCAACGCATCAAAAGATATCTAAAGTCCGTATCCGTCTGTGGTCTTTGCGGATTACCTCAGGTGGTGTTTATCTTGGTAGCAGCTCGTGTCTTTGCAGCACCTTGAGTCATTGCCAAGTAGTTGGTGCAAAATGGTGCAACATCAGCGTGGATACACCATGATTTACCCATCTTCTATCGACAAGGTGTTCCTAGCACAAACGGTCATACGATCATGTGACAGGAGTTCATTTTTTCAGTTGAATCACCGATTTTTTTTCTGTCAAGGACTGTTTTCGGCATGGTGTCAGAAGTGAGTGGCGCAACTGGCGGTGCAGCAAGTATCAACTCCAATCGATTTAGTTTCTGCTGCTTGGATCTTTTGAAATCATTTGAAATCTACATCTCAGCCATCAGCCAGGATTGTTCGAGGCGTGCATAGCACATCTTCAAGTTTAGCGCTTTTGGAGATGCGAGAATCTATGACTCAAACTACGGAGTCTCACTCGGAGCCTCAAGCACCAAACGTACTTGCTACACTTCTACACATGGAGGGGATACACCAAATTGGACCCATAATCATAGAGTCACGACGTGCCTTTAGGCAACCAAACCTCGGACAGGAAGTCCCCACCTTGCCGATGTTCTCCAGAAAAAGATAATTAATAAAGAAGGACAGTGCCTAGCCAACCGCAGTGCATGCTTGCCAATGTTTGCCAAAGGGTATAAGTTACAGCAATTACGGTGTGTGTATATATATATATAATATAATATAATAATATAATATATATACCCATGCATTGAGTTTGGCAGGCTTGGGTGTGCATGTATCATCTTTAAGTGTTTCAATGAATGCTACCATTTTGGCTCAAGTAATCTTGAACCAAAATAGCATTCATTGCTGTTTTCTTTCTTGGTCTTGGTAAGGGGTGACCTTTCCAGACCTTGATTGGGTGGTTCAAATCATATACAAGGGGCGACCTTGTATGCAGCGCAAACTCCCAGGAATCGATATCCCGGCAGCCACTGAGGCGAAGATCCTTCATGCTGCTGCTTTCCTGGAGTTCAAGAGCCACGTGGAAAGGCTGGCGCGGGAGGGCTCTGATGCTGCAGCATACACATGCTGGATGCATGGCATTGAAGTGTTGCATTCCCCCTACGTCATCACGACTGGGACAGATTCAGAGCTTTCCCCCCCCCTGCCGAAGCTACCCTGTTGCCTTGATGACTGCCAGCGTTGCGCAGCTCATGTGGGGGGGTTCAAGTTCCCGTGGCTCGGCTTGTGGAACAGCCGTGGCGTTGTGCTGCCCGATGATGTGGCGCCTGCGGATGCTTGGGCGTACTACTACCAGCACCAGGACCCCATGGACCTGCTGCTGGTCGCCGCCTATACGAAGCACAAAGTGGCCGCTGACATCGTGCCCCAGGATCTCTACGGGTTGCAGCTCAGGTGCTCAGCGGGCGACGCTGGGCAACTGGGCTTGGGGGAGCTGTTCGTTCAATGGAGGAGCTGGCTCAGATGCACAGGCCCTCACGAGCTCCTACCGGTCTTCCTCGAGCCGCGGCATTTCCCCAGAGCACCTAGGGGGCGACCCTGGGTGGCCTGGGGGAGAGAAGGCGCCAGGGCACATCGAGCGCTATGTGGATGGCTGGAATGCCAGGATGCAGGCATGCTCCAGCTGGGCACCGCCTGCACAGAGTGCGGAGATCCCACCAGGCGCGTGTGCTGGGCATGCTGCGTCGGGATGTGTAGTGACTGCTTCACCTGGCGTGAGCCATGCAGCACTTGTGGAGGACGTAAGAAGATGTTTGCTGCAGGTTGATTTTATGACAGAGGAGGCACCTCTGAAGTCACCGCAGCATCTTTTTGCTCTCCGCACCTTAGCAATCTTGTTAGGGTGCAGCGCCATGGCATCAGGCGGCAAAGGCTACTATGCAGCTCAAGCGGCAGCTTCGTCCTCGTCAGGGGGTGACCCTGAACCGGGATGGAGAGCAGCCGACTCCTTGATGATGATAGCTGCACAGCGTGCGCGTCAATGGAGGGAGAACGAAGGCCTCCTGGACGACAACGACTTCGCCTATGCCTACACCGACTACGATCAAGTCGTTGGACTAGCTGGCCATCACGTAGCAGATGACTGGCTGCAGACAAGAGCAAGGGTGGAAGAGCACCTCCTTGCTGCTGGGGCCAAAGTCGTGGAGGACAACCCCAAGGGTTCCGTCACTCTGCGCCCTGTGCGCAAGACAATCTACAAGAAAAAGCCCAAGGCCGTCAACGTCACCAAGAACCTGGATGAGGCCGTCCAAAAGCGGGTGAACGGCTTGGTGTCGATGTTTGTCGGAATGGGCGCATACAAACCAGCTGGCATCTTGACAGACACCCTCAAGGCCGAATGGAAACAAACATGCAAGAGGATCGCCGAGAAGAAGGTGAAGGACGCGGAGAAGGCGACCATTGACCGAGTGGTCAACACCTGGTTGGAGCTGAGGGCCTTCTTGGAGAGTCGGGGGCGACCCGCTCCTCCTGGAATGGTCGACCTGGATCAGTTCCTCAACCACACCCAGGCGCCAGCACGAGCACTCCAAGCCTTGAAATGGATGAACAAGAATGCCGACCAAGACATGGAGCTGGGAAACTTGCAAGTGCCTACAACACCCAGGGCGACTGGGCAGCGTGGGCAAGCACCGGTGGTGGAGCCGCCATTAGTGCAGGCCTTGGAGGACCGCATCACGGAGTTGCACGCGGTCGGCGATGAGAGGTGGTCAGTTCTTCTGGCTCCTTGGATCATGTCGTTTGGCTGTTTGAGGTATGCGCACATCGCGCGGTCAGAACCTCGGCGCCTCACCGCTGCATTCCTCCATTGCAGGTGCCCTAAGGGAAAACAAAAGCATGCCCGCGAAGGTTTCGACTTTGCGGTGCCGGCCACATTCGCCAACGGCTTCTTTTGGGCCAAGGAAGTGCTGGAGGCATACAGGACGCTGGCACCAGCAAGGCAGAGACTTGCAGGCCTTTGTTTTTCGGACGAAGGGCGCCCATGGACGATCCTAGAAGTGCAAGAGACGATGCAACAGGAAATGTCCGTGTTCCTCGACAATCCAGAAGATCTGACCACCTACAGCTGGAGGAGGCTTGCACCCACGGTGGCCCAGTTGTTAGGATGCAGGCCTGAAGAAATGGCAGCCCTGGGCGACTGGCAAAACAAGAGTGAGCAACCAGAGGTGGGGGCGATGGCATTTCACTATTCTTCGGCAAAATACGCCGCGTCGGTCAAGGTGAAATCCCTGATCTGGGGCGCTACGGCCAAGCTCGCTAGCAACCTGCTGTGGGAGGCGATCCCGCAGGCAGAGCTAGATGCAGCCCGAGCTCATGGCCTTACTGAAGCTGACAGGTTGCTGCGACAAGACCGCCAACCTATTTGGGCCTCTGCACATAGCTTCCAGGACGTGAAGAAGAGGCTCAAGTTGTCACAGCAGTTTGTTGAAGCGGCACAGCAAGCCCGGCAAGAGGCCGTAGCCGCACCGGCACCTCAGATGCCTGATCAACTCAATGGCAAGGTGCTGACGGCCACTTTGAAGAATGGTAAGGCCATTTGCCCGGAGTTCCAGACGGACGAGTGCCCGAATCCGGCAGACTCCTGCCCCTTCGGAGTGCACTTGTGTGCCATTCTACAAAAGTCAGGACGGGCATGTGGTGGCAAGCACGGTGCAGGCGTCTGCAACATCAAGAGGGCGGTGTTGGCCGCAACAGCAGTGCCAGCGGCACCCAAGCCATCGGCCACCTTGGTGCCGGCAGCCGTGGGGGAGAAGGCCACTTTTGGCCGGAAGAGGACCGCGGCGAGCGGTGCCACTGACGACGAGATGGCCGAGGTGATGCGCGCAGCTGTCAAGAAAGCCCGAGGTCAGGCTGCACCCAAGACTCCGCCCAAGGCGCCAGCCATTGCAGCCCCCAAGACACCTCCGAAGGCTGCAGCCACTACACCTAAGCCACCGGCCACAGCTGCGAAGTCCAGGGCTACAACCACAACGCCGAAGCGCTTGGCCGCTCCTGGGAAGCCACAGATCAAGGCCATGCCAAAGAAAGGCCATGGCAAGGCAGCAGGAGACACCTTGGACCTCCACTTGGAGCGGTTGGGTGTGGGCTCAGGGACAGCCCAGGCCCCGACTTGCATCTGGACATCCCGGAAGGGTGGTGGCATCTACCTGGCAGGACTTCCAATGAGGCAGACGGTGGACAAGTTCCCCAAGACAGCGTTGCAGATCTGCTGCTTCCCGAATGGTCCTGAGAGCCGGGGGGGGGTGACCCTCCCGGGAGCTCAGTTGATGACCTTCGCGGCGGCATACAGCCAGGAACGCAACGAACAGTGGACAGACGTGTGGCCGGCCGTCAAGAACACTGTTTGGCACGGCGACAACGTCGTGGTGCACTGCATCAAGGGGCGACACCGGGGTGCTTTCTTAGGCATCCTCTGCCGTGCATTGCTGGCCGGCGAGTCCATTGAGGATGCCAACCACTACGTGGAGAGCCGCAGGGATACAGAGCTGAACAAGGTCATTCGCGACCAAGGCATGCGGAAGTGGCTGCACAAGACCTTCCAGGACACCGCGGTGGGAACACAGCACCCCGAGCCGCAGGGATATGCAGCTACGGAGAGGTCCAGCACCCATGTCACGGTCGAGGACGGCATCACCTTGTGCCAGCACAAGCAGGCCGATGGGAAGGCGAAGCGCCTGGTGAACCCATACATGTCCACGGACGTCTTTGAAGCTCTGGCATGGGAGCGCCCCTGGTGTGACCAGTGCCTCCGTCGAGCGCCAGCGTCATGGTGGCCGCCTGCCTAAGATGCCCAAGCCGAATTTTTGGCCTTTGCGCTGATCAGCAGCACTGGCCCGTTCCGGCCATGGAGAGCCGAATTCATCAGCTCGGGGCTTGGATAAGAGCTTCAATCCAGCCTGCATGACCGCCCCCAGCAGTAACATCATGTGCGAGAGGAAAATAGTAGAGCCAGGTGACTTTCAGTAGGGTGCCCACTGAGCAAGTGCCGTGCCCTCATGTCCTTTCGTTGTGTTTTTCAAGTTTTTCCTTTCATGACAACGCACAAGACCATCTGGGAGGGGGACCTCAGATAGTCTAGTGTACCATAGCTCTGTGGCGGCATGAAGGTGATGTCATGTGAGGTCGCAACATAGCTGTGCGTTGTACACATGTCCAGATTTCACATCAGTGTATGTCAGGGTCCATTTATTTCATGCCACGCCAGGCTGTTCCAGCACAACGCACGGGGGAGACCCGAGGCGCAGTTTTCAGTCAAAGGGAGGGGATCCCTGGGCCTCAGCTAGAGGGGTGTCCTCGAGAATAGGCCATGGAGACTGATAAAGTCCCACTGGAAAAGGGTTCCCCAGAGGAAATCCTAAGGAAGTTGGGTGACAACTTCTCGTTGGATG